TTTTTTTTTTTTTTTTTTTTTTTTTTTTTTTGCTTTGTTTTCCCCGACAGATCCACCTGCCTCTGCCTCCGGAGTGCTGGGATAAAAGGCGCGCACCACCACTGCCAGGCTATGTTTTCCTTAACAAATGGTCTCACTCTGTAGCCCTAGCTGGCCTAGAACTTTCTTAAGTATGTCGACCGGCCCCCAACTCACAGAGATCCCCCTGCCCTTGCCTCCTGAGTGCTCAGTTGGAAGGCCTGAGCCATCACACCCTATTCTGAAAATTTCTAATGTTTTACGTTAAAGTTCCCTTGCTACTTTTACACACCAGCGAAGAGGTTGGGAGTTGTGCTTTGGTGTGGCAGCATCTGTGTTTTTGAAGATGTCATAGGGAACCGAATGATTGGTGAAGTCTCTGAACCTCTGTGTTGCTAGGTTCTGGCAGAGAAGAGGCAGCTGGGCAGCAAGGATGGCCCTCCTCATCAGGTGCTCGTGGTGCCTCTGCACAGCAGGATTTCCCTTCCAGAGGCATTTAGACTGCTTCAGAATGAAGACTTGGGAACAGTGTACTTGAATGAATGGGGAAACACCCATACCTTTATGCTTCTAAGCCCTGTTTTGAAACATCGGTGGTTTTTCACATATGCAAGACCAGGTTAGAATATCCAATATTTTTCTGTCATTATGTTATAAGTAGTTCTATTTCTTAAGTATAATGTGCTAACTACCTCTTCTTACCGTATCTGCTGTTTTCAGGAGATCTGCATACTGTATTAGACATGGCTAAAGTTGCTGACACCATCCTGTTTCTCCTGGATCCACTAGAAGGCTGGGACAGCACTGGGGATTACTGTCTGTCTTGCCTCTTTGCTCAGGGCCTTCCCACCTATAGTAAGTGTATTGGAGTATTGGGAGACCAGCAAAGAAAGTTAAAATTTTTTTTTTTTTTTTTTTTGGTGCAACTCTGATCTGCGCACAGTGTTTGGCATTTGATTTATTACTATAACCAATGCGTTGTAGTCTGCTTTTCTGGAATGTGTGTCCAAATTAAACATTATTTTTTTCAATTACTTTTCTCTCTGTGAAACAACAGCTCTGGAACTCTCTTTGTAGACCAGGCTGGCTTAACTCCCCTGCTTCTGCCTCCCCAGTCCCCAGTAATTCTATTAGAGGCTTGCACCAACACTGCCTGGCTTAAAGAGAATTTTTACCCTTGTGCTGCCCGGGGAAAGAACAGAAAGATGGACTTAATTGTGTGGTCGTTGGTTGGGATGTTGTTGTGATCTGGAAATGAATTTTTCCATGGTGAAACAGTAAGGCACTAAGCTCTTTCTTCCTCTCCTTCCAGCACTAGCTGTCCAGGGGCTTTCTGGCCTCCCACCAAAGAAACAAGTAGATGCCAGAAAAAAGCTAAGTAGAACAGTGGAGAAACGCTTTCCTGATGACAAGCTCCTGTTGCTGGACACCCAACAGGAGGCAGGACTACTGCTTAGACAGTTGGCTAACCAAAAGCAGCGGCATCTTGCTTTTCGAGATCGGCGAGCTTACTTGTTTGCCCATGTTGCTGACTTCGTGCCTAGTGAGGAGAGTAACTTAGTGGGCACCTTGAAAATCTCAGGCTATGTTCGTGGGAGGACTCTGAATGTAAATAGTTTGCTGCATATTGTTGGACATGGTGATTTCCAAATGAATCAGATAGATGGACCTGTGGACCCTTTTCCTTTAAATCCTAGAGTGATTAAATCCCAGAAGAAACCAAGTGTGCTAATGGAGGTAAGATTGATAAGGGTTTTCACTTTGGGAATCAAATCTAGGCCTTGGCAGGTACTCTTCTACTTGGCAACATTCCTTGCCCAAGATTGTTGGTTTTATTTTATTTTATTTTTTTGATTTTTCGAAACAAGGTTTCTCTAGCTTTTAGAGCCTGTCCTGGAACTAGCTCTTGTAGTCCGTGCTGTCCTCGAACTCACAGAGATCCGCCTGCCTCTGCCTCCTGATTGCTGGGATTAAAGGCGTGTACCACCACTGCCCCGCAAGTTTTACCTTTTTTTTTTTTTTTATTTTTTTTTTAAGAATTATTTTTGTATGCTGGAGAGAGGGCATATTACTCGTGTGAAGGACAGGAGACAACTTGCCAGGGTTTGGATCTCTCCTCTTACCTTTTGGGCCCAGAGGATTAGACTCAGGTCATTGGGTTTGGCACTCTGGACTGTTTTGTTTTTTGTTTTTCAAGTCAGGGTTTCTCTGTGTATCTCTGGCTGCCCTGGAAATTGGTCGATAGATCAGACTGGCCTCGAACTCATAGAGATCCACCTGTCTCTGCCTTCCAAGTGCTGGGATCAAAGGTATAAAGGTATGTGTCACCACTGCCTGGCTTCTGTTTTTTTTTAGAATGTATATTGGTGTGTAAGTTGGCATAGGATGGAAAATTTAATTTCCAGAGAGGCTAGTTTTCACACTTAGGCAAGTGAGGAGTCTGCTAGTTTGAAATGTAAGGCAGTGGACAATTAGACATAGGTTAATCAATTGTGTTTACCCAGTACTTCCTAGGTATTCTGCACAGTTGACTGTGCCTTTGTGGCAGATGTGGCCTCTTAGAATTTATTTGAATTAGAGAAAAAAACTAACACTTGTGAATTTAAAAATTACAGTAGCATATAGTTAAGGTGTAGGCCTGCTGTGGAAATTGAGAATACATTAGCAAGTTACACAGGAGAGATCAGACTCAACCAAGTATTTGGAAGTATGAATGACTTACGAGTTCCACACAGGTTAAGGAATATCTTGGGGACTATGAACCTAGATATAGTGACAAAGTAGAGGATTTTTTTAAAGACTGGTCCTCACTAGCAGTGGCTGGCCTGGAACATAATTACTGTATAGAACAGGCTGGTCTCAAACTTTGCAGAGATTTGCCTGCCTATGTCAATTGAGATAAAAGGTGTGCACCACCATGAAGGGTTTGTTTGTTTGAATTCTGAAGAGAGCAGTTTTGCTTGAAAGGGAATATAATAAGTAGGTAGGAAAGTGTCAGAATTTCTTTTAGAAACAAACTGAAAAGTTAAGCTGGGGATCAGAGTTGAAATACTAGGAGATCACCATTTGGAAATTTGGTATGTTTTGATTTTTTATTTAATTTGTGGATCTTTCTGGTTACAGTTAGACTTACCGGACTTGGTTAATGTCTGACAGGCAGTTCCCTGCTTTTGGGTTTTAGATTTGTGCTACAGATACTGCAGTCGACATGGAAGAAGACCTTAAAGTTCTGATGAAGGCAGATCCTGATAAACAGGAGACTTTACAGACAGAGGTTACTCCAGATCCGATGGAAGGGGAGCAAACCTGGCCCACAGAGGAGGAATTGGAGGAGGCAAACGGTCAGTGGTAGCAAACATGTTTACTCTTTGTCACTGCTTGCTTACAGGGCTGGATAAGGAAGTGATTGGAGTTCAAATACTACATGACTGTACCAAGCAAACACTGGACACAGCTCTGCTTTCTCTCTGAGAATCACTCTAGGCTTGTCTTTTTAACTAATAAGTGATATTAAATCCAATACAGGATTTATTTAGCTGCATATTATTTGTTGCTGTGAGGCAGCTGAATTAAATTTGGAAGTAGTCTGTTTTCATGTGGATGCTATTTTCTCATGTTGGTAGCAGGGTGAGAATAGGTGAGAATACAGAAAGGGAGTATAATTAATATTTAAATAATGTAAATTAGTTGTTTGGGTTTTACAGACTTATTGAAGCAACGTTCCAGGGTGGTAAAGAAGGTCCCTAGAGGAACATCCAATTACCAGGCTGAATGGATTTTGGATGAAGGTGGTGAAAGTGGTGGGGAAAGTGATGAATATGATGATCTACAACATGAAGATTTTATGGAAGAGGAGTCTGAGGTATGAAAATGGGCATCAGGCCACCTATTCATACAACTACAAAAATATGGCTGTACTCACAGAAAGGATGTTTTTATGATTTGCTCTTATTTTGAGGCTGGGGAAATGACTCATTGGGTAAAGTACTTGCCACATACTTGTTAGGACTTCCATTTGAATTCCAGAACACATGTAAAGCCAGGTGTGGTAGTACAAGTCTGTAAAACTATTCCTATGGCAAGATTGGGTGTAGAGATAGACTCTCAGGAACACCAAGGCCAAGGTAACAAACAAAAGATCCTGACCCAAGGTGGAAGGTGAGGACAGACAAAGTTGTCCTTAGATTTCCACATATGTGCCTGTATACTCATTTATATATCACACTAATGTGCATTTTTTTAATAGTTATTTATTATGCATACAATATTCTGTGTATATGCCTGCAGGCCAGAAGAGGTCACCAGACCCTATTACAGATGGTTGTGAGCCACCATGTGGTTGCTGGGAATTGAACTCAGGACCTTTGGAAGAGCAGGCAATGCTCTTAACCTCTGAGCCATCTCTCCAGCCCCACTAATGCGCATTTTTGTATTTATATTAGTTGCAGATAGGTGTCTAGGAACATTAATATTTGTTTAATTGCTTTTGGGGTTCAGATGGATAGATATCTGCTGAAATATCTGCAAAAAAATTTTAGGTGGTCTTACTTTCCTGTAACTGACCTTGAACACAAGCAATCCTACCTTAATCTTCCTAGAGCTAGGATCATAAACATGTGACACCAAGCCTGCTTGCTACTTTGTTTTTGTTTAAGACTTCATACCATTTCTCCAGACAAGGTTTCCTGTATTAGTCCTGAAGTCAGCGTGTAGCAGAGAATAATTTTGAACTCCTTAATCTCCTGCCTCTATCTCCTCAGTGCCTGAACTATAGAGATACTATGGCATCCTGTGTCTTAGTTTTTGATGTGCTAGTGCTAGGAATCAATTCCCAGGGTTTCACAAATGCCAGGCAAGCACTTTACCAGATGGGCCACACCCCCAAGGATACAGACATACACGCATTGTTTTTAGGGTGTGGGGGGGTGTTGTTTGAGACAGTTTCACTACTTTGCTCTGTTCTAGAAACTATGTAGACAGGCTGACCTTGAACTCACAGTGATCCACCTTTTTCTGCCCCCCAAGTGCTGTATTATTACTGCACCCGGTGCTTTGGTTTGTGGGGGGCGGAGGGATCAGGAATACCTTTCTGAAGTCATTTCTTTCTCCCTTCCCACCATTTGGGTTCCCTGTATAGAACTCAGGTCAGGTATAGAAATGAGATCATTTGGAAACAAGTGCTTCTATTTACTGAGTTATCTTGCTGGTGCTGTGATTTTTGGTTTTCTGGGGTATAGTCTTCAAGAATCTCAGGCTTCTCTAGAACTCTAGCTGAGGATATCCCTGAATCCGGGTCTTGGTATTACAGGCACGTGAAATCTGTCCCGCTTTAGGCTGTGCTGGGGATCCACCAAGAGCTTTATGTGTGCTAGGAAAGCACTCTACCAATTGAGCTACATTGTCTGCCCTTTTTGGGTTTATTAGGGTTTTTTTGTTGTTGTTGTTTTGTTTTGTAAAGATTTATTTATTATGTACATAAGAGTCTGCCTCCATGTTTATCTGTAGGTCAGAGGAGGGCGCCAGATCTCATTATAGATGGTTTTGAGCCAACATGTGGTTGCTGGGTGTTGAACTCAGGACCTCTGGAAGAGCAGCTGGTGCTCTTAACCACTGAGCCATCTCTCCAGCCCCGGTTTATTAGTTTTTTGAAGACAGTCTTACTCTGTCACCCAAGCTACCATCAAACTCAGTGAATCTCCTGCCTCAGTTTCCTAACTAAGACTGCAAGTGTGTTCCATAATGCATATTTGTGATCCCCCACTTTACAGGATGAGAGTGGCGAGGGGGAAGAGGAATGTGAAACCATGACTCTAGGGGAGTCTGTGCGTGATGATCTGTATGACGAGAAAGTAGATGAGGAGGCAGAGGAGAGAATGTTGGAGAAATATAAACAAGAGAGAATGGAAGAGATGTTTCCGGATGAAATGGATACCCCCCGTGATGTGGCTGCTAGAATTCGGTTAGTCAACAAATCATTTCAGACAAGTTTTATTTAAAACTTTTTTTATGGTTTAGAACTATGTGAACAGGAACCAAATAAAAAAAAAACACATTGTCTTTGTCCTTGAGGGACTAACATTGCTATGTAAGAAGCAACAAAATACAGGCAAGGTGTAGATTTGTTCAGAAGACCCTAGTAAAGCAGATATACCTAAGTTAATCAGTAAATATTCCTTGCAGGAGTAAATGCTCTCGAGTATATATTTGGGGAAGTGAGAGTTTTGAATGAATGCTTATAAAAGCAAAAGCAAGAAAATTAGGTGATTTTTTTTTTTTTTCTTTTTTTCTGGAGCTGGGCAGTGGTGGCACACACTTTTAATCCCAGGACTCTGGAGACAGAGACAGCAGAGGTGGGTGGCTCTCTGAATTCAAGGCCAGCCTGGTCTACAGAGTTAGTTTCAGGACAGCTATTGCTGTTATACAATGTAACTTACCCTTCCCCATCCCACCCCACCCCAAAAAAAGCAAAACCAAAAAATGTAGGTGATGATTTTTTTTTTTCCTGGAAGTAAGCCTGACGAAAAGCCAGTGTCAATGTTGGGTAAATGATGAGGCAGGTTGAAGAGCCACATTCCTTGACAGATATCAGGTGGGTACTGTAAATACTTTGTTCCCTGTGAAAAGCCTAGGTTGCTTCTGAAATACTTGTTAGAAGCTGTTTTAGGACATAGTTTCTTATAAAGCTATTAGTTGGTAGTTGTTTGCTTGAAAGATGGGGTCTCGTGTAGACCAGGCTATTCTGGGTCTTCCTGCCTCTACCTCCTACGTGTTAGGATTAGTAAGTGTGTATTTCCAAGCCCAGTTCTAGCTCATTAGGATATTTTGATACCTAGTGAGTAATTTTTAGTTTCTTGAGACAGTTTCACTTTGTAGCTCAGGCAGACATGGAACACATGATCCTGCCTAGAATACAAGAGCTAGACCTACAGCCTTTTGTGGTTTGTTGTGCTGTGCTGGGGATTGAACCCAGGGCGTGTATACTAGGTAAGCATTATACCACTTCCCTAGGTCAGAGTACTTTGAAAAAGCTAGAGCCTTGACCATTTTAGAAGCAAGGTGAGTTTTAAGTAGCACCATCTAAAAATCTTTTACTTTCTTTAAAACTCGTGTTCTAGATTTCAGAAATACAGAGGCCTCAAGAGTTTCAGGACATCTCCTTGGGACCCTAAGGAAAACCTTCCTCAAGATTATGCTCGGATTTTTCAGTTTCAGAATTTTATTAATACTAGAAGAAGAATCTTCAAAGAAATTGAGGAAAAAGATGTTGAAGGAGCTGAGGTATCTTGCCTTCTTGTCCACCTTGCCATTTGTTTTTGTTTGGGAACAAATAAGGGACAGAAATGATTAACTGAGAAGGTTGAGTCTGGGTGTTGACACTTTCATGAATGATGAGGCATAGATCTGAAGAAAGGTTTCCTCACTACTAGGCCATAAGGGTAACCCTGTGCCTGTCTTGTGCTTCTTTCTGGCAGGTCGGCTGGTATGTCACAATTCATATCTCTCATGTCCCTGTCTCGGTGGTTGAGCATTTCAAGCAAGGAACACCCTTGATTGCATTTTCTTTACTACCTTATGAACAGAAGGTAAATCAGTGTTTTTTGGGAAATGGAGAATTACAAATATTTCTGCAAGGTGTACATTTTTTACACATTGGAATGATTGAGGAATCTGAATAGAGAAGTCAATGATGGTCATGCCCAAGATGTCTGAACCTGTCTGAAGCATCTTAGTGATGCGGTCTGTATGGCTCTGAGACTTCTCTAAGAATGTCTTTTCAGATCAGAATGGGGTAGCAGTCTTAAAAGTGATCTCTTCTCTCTAGGTGGTCATGCACACTGGGATTGGGACAGCTGGTATACGATTGTGGAGGCGTGGGTGATGGGTTGGGAGGATAAGGATATATGGTGATCAGGTAATGTGAAGGTCATTCACTAAGGCTGAGCTCTTGTAATGTTAGATGTAGCTTACATGTGTATGGAAGCACTGATAGGCCTATATGCACCTGGAATTTCAGTTGATGGGTAAAAACAACTATAATGACATCTGTATGATGTCACTAACTAGCATGTTAGAGTAAAACTGGTGTTTGTTTGGTTTGCCTTTCAGGTTAGGCCATTGTATGCCTAGACTATGAAGCTTTTTCTTATTTGGTCCTCAGATGTCAGTATTGAACATGGTGGTCAGTCGGAACCCTGGAAACACGGAACCTGTGAAGGCCAAAGAAGAACTGATCTTCCATTGTGGATTCAGGCGCTTCCGAGCCTCGCCTTTATTCTCTCAGCACACAGCAGGTTAGCGTGGAAGCTGCTGGGTCTTTCATAGTTGAAGGCAGTAAGATAGTTTGAAATTCTTAAGTCTCTGGGGTGAGAGAGATTTTCAGTACTCTTGACTTAGGAGCCAATGATGTTTTTATTCAAAATGTCTGAACCTGTCTGAAGCATCCCAGTGATGCGAACTGTGTTGTGCTGAGGCTTCTACTATGAGTATTGTTTCAGAGTTGGAGCTTTAGGAATAGAAATATGTTTTGTTGCTGGCTTGCTCACGTGGGGCTTCTGAACAGTTCCATAGCTCACGCATGGTGTTATAAAGGCACATTGAGTAGCTGGAATGGAAAATCAGATTACCTGGAGGACTCTTTCAATGCCAACCGTAGTCTAAGCTCCAGTTGAAAAATTATTGATGGGACTAGGTTTTATGTGTTGGTTGTATTTATGCAGGGGAAAAAATGAGAGTAGTATAGAGAAACACAAGATGAAGCTGGTAATCCTAGCCCTTGAGAAATATGGAGAAAGGTACACAGTAAGTTCAAGGCCAGCATGCAATACATAAGCCTGTCTCAAAACAAAGCAGACTGGAGCTTACAGATGACCTGGTTCAGTCCCCAGTACCTACCACACTGATCAGCTTAGAGGCACCTACACATGCATACCCACATGGATATATATACCCATACCCAGACACATAGTTAAATAAAAACATAATCGTAAACACCGGTGCTTTTGGTTAAGAGTTACAGTTAGGCTGAGAATATGTTGTAGATCTCTAGCATTACCATAACTTTAAAAGGTGGGTCTGTGTGTGGCAGCAGCAAAGCTTTTGACAGCCTTTGCATTGCTTATGGTTTCTCAAGGCTTTTCACTTTTCTTTCTATTTATTTCGGACCCTTACTATGGAAGCTGATAAACATAAATTTCAGAGATTCCTGACTGCTGATGCGGCCTTAGTGGTGACAGTGTTTGCGCCAATCACTTTTCCTCCTGCATCTGTGCTACTTTTCAAGCAGAGAAGCAACGGTATGTTGAATTCTAAATGGTAATTGATAAACCTACTAGGACCATAACTTTTCTGTAATTAGACCTGGGGTCTAACTATATTAAGGTATGCTGGTGGTTTTTCCAAATACCAATTTCAACCTCATTGAGGGTGTAAGCCCAGGTGATAAGCTAGTTCTTTCCTGTTGGCACACTTGAGTAGAGACTGCTTGGAGTACTTTTTTTTTTTTTTTAAAGATTTATTTATTATGTATACAACATTCTGCCTCGATGTATGCCCGCACGCCAGAGGAGGGCGCCAGATATCAATACAGATGGTTGTGAGCCACCATGTGGTTGCTGGGAATTGAACTCTGAACCTCTGGAAGAGCAGCCAGTACCCTTAACCTCTGAGCCATCTCTCCAGCCCTTGGAGTACTATTTTTAAGGTGGGTTTGGGGGACAGGCTCAATAGAAATATTTTTTTATTGGTCTTTTGTGGCCTCAGAAAGGTAACAGTGCACTTCTCTGAGAAAGTCTCGCATGGGTCTTTAAATAGATGAGAGCAGTAGCTGAAGGGCGTGTCCTGTAGATTAACCGCTGTTCTCCTTTCATAGGAGTGCACAGCCTCATTGCTACAGGCCACCTGTTATCAGTGGATCCAGACAGGATGGTCATCAAGAGAGTTGTTCTGAGTGGTCATCCGTTCAAAATTTGTACTAAGATGGCAGTGGTGCGTTACATGTTCTTCAACAGAGGTAGGCATGAATACGAGAGGGATCTGATTCCCTTTGGTGGGAAGACAGGCTTGACGCTGTTTGATTTTGTGTCTGTGTTCCATTTTAAGAGGATGTGATGTGGTTTAAGCCTGTGGAACTGAGAACCAAGTGGGGCCGCAGGGGACACATCAAGGAGCCTCTAGGTAAGAGTCTGGGAGTCCCCAGTGTTGTCAAGGGACTATTGGGCTATAAAGTTCACTGCTTTAATGCCTGCTTTACTTTAACCAATTTGCTGTTTTCCTTCTAGGTACCCATGGCCATATGAAGTGCAGTTTTGATGGGAAGCTAAAATCTCAGGATACAGTATTAATGAATCTCTATAAGCGAGTTTTCCCCAAATGGACTTATGATCCATATGTACCAGAGCCAGTACCGTGGGTGAAAAGTGAGTTCTCAGCAGCATCTGAAGTGGACATGGAATAATGGATTCAGTGGATTCTGTCTGTCTGCTGCAGCCAGAACTTAGTGTGGGTTGTGACAAGGCAGTCTGCTCTCTATTTCAGCTGTTTACACTATTACTTGGTCGCCAAATTATAACTCTTACTAAAACATTCTCCATTAAGATTTTGAAAACAATTTTCATCTAGAGACAATTCATGAATTTAAACAGAAATAGTCTGGTAAGGACTTTCAGCCTGCTTCACCCAGTTTAGGGAGGTTAGGTCTACATTCCCACCACTGAGTACAATACAGATGTTCTTCACTTCTGGAGAGACTGTTTGGAAATGCTGGGACAGCACTGCAGCCAATCCAACACCAGCAGTAGGCTCAATGAGCAGTTTCATTCTCTCCCACACCAGTTGGGTTGCATGCTGTTGGCACAGAAAGGAGTAAGGATTAATGAAACAAACAATATAGGAGGTTAAGTTCTGAACACCAAATGAAGTAGATGTTTGGGTTTGTTTCGATGACTGTGCTTGCTAATAAAGTGCATATACAAGTCAGCCTAGCTCTGCTACTGTCAGGGTTCCCATGTGTTAAGTTAATCCTCTGTTCATAAATTTCTTTTGCCTAGGAAGTTAGACTTGCTGTTTTCTCATCACAGTCTTACCTTGATTTCATCCTCTGTGACAGTGAAGACATCATCCACAAGGTCCCTTATAATAGGCCAAGTATTTAAGCCAATGCTTGATTTGACACCATCTGCTATGGTTTCTGGAGGGTGAAGATTGGGAGTCAGTTCTCCTTTCAGTTTGGACTGGTAGCAGTCATCTGCATTCAAGGGTTCTGCAGCGTAGACCTTCACACTAGGTTTCAGGGCCTGGGCAGAGGAACAGAGACTGTACACTGGCAGCTTTGCCTGCATACCTGAAGAAGGCATACTAGATGACACATTTTCCATGTTCCAGAAGGGTCTTTCTTTTGATACCAAAATGGAAATATGACCTTGAAGCACTTTAATAAAAGTTGTATCTGATGACTGACTTAATTGACTAAATTACAACTGGTTCTAATAATTTGGGGAGAGTAATAGTTTAGTGAGGTGGACTTGGATGCTGCTCATCCTCAGTTGCTTTTATGCTGTGCTATCATACATGAAAAGGACAGTGAGGCAAAGGAGGCCACAAAAGAATAGTAATTTGGGGGCATGGTGAGAAACTGTCCACAATGCAGTGTGATACAGGTCCTAATCCAGAAAGTCCTTTTAACAGTTTTCTCACCTTAATTGTAATGGCTATTCCAGCAACCATTCCTCCTCCCCCTACTGGTACCACCAGTGCATCCACCAAAGGAACCTTTAGTAAAAATATAAATAAGCCAATTAATAAAGTTTTATATATGTAAAACCACTTTTCTATTGGCCAAATGGGATGATGGCATTTTACCTGGTTCAGGACTTCCAGGGCAATTGTCCCTTGTCCAGCTATCACTGCAGGCTCCTGGTTGGGATGGACCAAGATGCCTTCTGTTTCTTGCATAATTCTTTGAGTGACCTTTTCTCTAGACTAAAAGGTAGCATTAATGTAGCTTAACTTGACTTACAGTAAGTCCCCAAAAGTACAATTCAGTCACAACACTTCAAAGACAATTTTTCAGATTTTCATAAACATGGTATGTCTGAGTGCTTGTGAGAAAAAATAGATTTTTCTTTGGGTGGCTGAGGGGCTTTAATTATGTGACATGAACAAGCTGTGGATCTTTTAAATGTTTGAAGGTGTTAATGAATGTGAAGTGTACAAAGTAGAATTACCTGGCCTTTTCTGGAGAACTGCTAAGGGAGAGGATAATACAGTAAGAGGTGAGGCAGAAAGACAGCATGGTTAGACCATCCCAAGAACTCTGGTGGCTGAGACAGTGAGTGCTTAGTGCTTACAAGGCGCCAGCACCAGATCAAAACAAAACCAACCCTGAGGCTGAGGAGATGGCTCAGTGGCTGCTCTAGAAGACTTGGGTTCAATTCCCAGCACCTACATGACAGCTCATAACTGTAACTCCAGTTTTGCTGAATCCTTAGCCCTCATACATACATGCAGGCAAAAATAAAAAAGGTGGCACACACCTTTAATCCCAGCACTCCGGAGGCAGAAGCAGGTGGATCTCTTGAGTTCGAGGCCAACCTGGACTATAAGAGCTAGAACTGATGCTGGGTGGAACCATGGTAGGAACTGTTAAAAGGAACTGGACTGAGCCAGCAGTGGTGGCTTGTCTTTAATCCCAGCGCTTGGGAGGCAGAGGCAGGCCTGATCTACTAGAACTACGTTCAGGACAGGCCCGAAAGCTACAGTGAAACCGCCTCCAAAAACAAAACAAAAAAAAAAAAAAAGGAAGGAGGGGGCTGGACTAAAAGTTTTGGTTTTCTTTTTAAGATTTTTATCACATCTATTCAATTTTGCATATGTGTAGAGGTCAGAGAACTGGGAGTCCTCTGCTAAAGCTGTTTGGGTCCAGGAATTAAACTTGGGTTAAGTTTGGCAGCAGGTGTCTTTGCTTGTTAGCCGGCTTCAAAGCCCTGCCCCCATATTTATTTATTTATTTATTTATTTATTTGTTTGTTTATTTATTTGTTTGTTTATTTTGGTTTTTCGAGGCAGGGTTTCTCTGGTTTTGGAGCCTGTCCTGGAACTAGCTCTTGTAGCCCAGGCTGGTCTCGAACTCACAGAGATCCGCCTGCCTCTGCCTCCCTTTATTTTTTTTTTTAATCTGCAAGGACAGATGTTCTGGATGTGGTGTTTGGGAGTTATCTAAGATTTTTGTTTTTCCTTGAACAACTAGAAAGAGAAGTGATGTTATTTGATGAGGTTAGGAAGACTGGAATGGGAAGAGAGGAGTCAGGCCAGGAATCTGGTGTTAGACAAAATTATTGATGTCCAGGGAGGAAAGTTGGGCTGCTGAAGCATAGGTGAAATGTTGCAATAAGAGCGGCGGTGCTGCGTCCCTGGCACCCGGCCGCCCACATGGCTAGCTTATGCCCGAAATAATTACATGGAAACTGTATTCTTTTAAACACTGCCTCGCCCGTTATCTGTAGCCTCTTACTGGCTAGCTCCTACATATTAATCTAACCCATTTCTAATAATCTGTGTAGCCCACGAGGTGGCTTACCAGAGAAGATCTTAACCTGCGTCTGTCTGGAGTGGGAGAATCATGGCGACTCCCTGACTCAGCTTCTTTCTCCCAGCATTCTGTTTTGTTTACTCCATCCACCTACGGGTTGGCCTATCAAGGGGCCTAGGCAGTTTATTAATAAGAAATCACTCCCACATCAGTGAAACATCTTTAAGCATTTAATTTCTGGGACTGGAGAGATGGCTCAGTGGCTAAAAGGACTGACTGTTCTTCCAGAGGACCAGTTTCAGTTCCCAGCACCCACATGGCAGCTCACAACTGTTTGTAACTCTATTTCCAGCGTATCTGACACCCTCACACAGACATACATGCAGGCTAGACACTACAACACATAAAAAGAAAAATTTAATTTCTGACTGGACAAGGTACATATGACTTTAATTCCAGTACTCTGGAGGCAGAGGCAGGTGGATCTCTCTCAGTTCAAAACCATCCTACTTTATATATAGTGAGTTCTAGGATAGCCCTATCTAGACAGACCCTGTCTTAAAAATAAAGTCTCCCCATCCATCCACCCATCCGAGGAGACAGGGTTTCAAGTAGACCTGCCTGAGGCTAGTCTTAGAACCAAGGATCCTTAGTCCAAGGATAACTTTGAACTCCCGATCTTCCCTCGCATACTTCCCAAGTGCTGAGATTACAGGCAAGTAGCAATCATAGCCAGGCGATGGTGGCGCACGCCTTTGATTCCAGCACTTGGGAGGCAGAGGCAGGCGGATCTCTGAGTTCGAGGCCAGCCTGGTCTACAGAGCTAGTTCCAGGAGAGGCTCCAAAGCCACAGAGAAACCCTGTCTCGAAAAAACAAAACAAAACAAAACAAAACAAAAAAAGTAGCAATCATATCAAGCTGTAATACTCTGAGAAAAAAAAAAAAACTTACTCTGTAGCTCAGACTGGTCTGGAAGTTGCCATTCTGTGTCCTGAGTGCTAGAATAGACATATGCCACCATGCCTGGCTTTAGTCATATGCTGAGGATGGACAGATGGGGAAAAGGCTGGCCACGCTAAGGCAAAGAGGAAGCTTCCAGTAAGGGAGGCAGGCAGATAGCCTGTCAAGTGAAACTATTAAGTGATGCTGAACACTCCCTCCTTACCTCATCACTCGGTTCACTATATACTATAGAGGCCCCGTAGGCTTGTATTGCCAGTTTCTTGCAGTTGGGAGCCGTCTGAGGCACCACAATGTAAGCAGGAATCCCTGGGAGGGGAAGAACATGGTTAGTGTGAGGTGCTTCTAGGAGAGAAACTTGCATCATTTTGCTTATGAGCAAACAGGGGTTTCTTTGGAAACTTATTTTCCATGGCTGTCATCCCTCTTACTATAATTAGGGTAATTTCCCACTCTTTGATACTACTCTGGACCCTGAGAAACATAGTACCTTCCAGTTTGGCAGCATAGGTGAGAGCCTGGCCATGGTTCCCACTGCTGTGAGTAACAACGGCTTTGGGTTTCCCCTCCAGAGGGTCAGGAATTAAGCCTCTGATGGCATTAAGGGCACCACGGATCTGGAAGAGATGTTGAATTACAAATGGTGCATCATTTTAACAATGGAGACATGTTCAGAGAAATGGATTCACCTGTTTCATTGTGCAAACTGTAGAGGGTATTTACACAAACAGCCTGCTATGCACCCAGGCTATGTGGTAGAGCTTCCTGCTCCCAAGCAATAAACAAGCACGGCAAAAATACTGAGCACATGCACACCAAGTTTACAGAATACTTTTCACAATAGTAAATTAGCTTATCATAACTGCTTTACTTTGTAAATTAAAAAAAAATATTTAGCTGAGTGGTGGTGGCTCAAGCCTTTAATCCCAGCACTTGGGAGGCAGAGAGAATCTCTTGAGTTTGAGGCCAGCCTGGTCTACAGAGTAAGTTCTAGAATATTTAGGAATACAGAGTGAAACCTCATCTCAAAAAACAAAAACAAACAAACAAAATAAAACTAAACACAGGGTCTCATGTGGCCCAGGCTGGTACTGAATTTGCTCTGTAGCCAAGGACAACCTTATTGTTGATTTTTCTGTTTAAATTACACAACCTTGTACAGCTGTACAAAAATACATCCAAGTGTGGTGATGGTGCACACCTTTAACTATTTAGAGACTAGGGGCTGGAGAGATGGCTCAGAGGTTAAGAGCATTGCCTGCTCTTCCAAAGGTCCGGAGTTCAATTCCCAGCAACCACATGGTGGCTCACAACCATCTGTAATGGGGTCTGGTGCCCTCTTCTGGCCTGCAGGCATACACGCAGAAAGAATATTGTATACATAATAAATAAAAAAAAAACTATTTAGAGACTATTCATGGGACCGTAATTGTAAGGGATTTTAGGTTGTGTGAAATAGACATAGCAATGTTCTAAACCTGGTACCCAGGACGTGGAAACCGCAAAAAGACATTTGTTTACCACCAGCCACCCCATTAGTGGGCAGGAGAATAAAACAAACAACAGATTGGGAAAACAAAATGAATTTTTACCTTAAAAGACCCAGTTTTCTGGAAGAGTTCGCATTTGAAGAAAAGACTGCGTCCTGCTATTTGGTTCAAAATGGAGCTTGTTAGTACTGGCGTGAGGTGGACAGAATCTCGAATGTTCATATGGGCTTTTTCAACATCAGCAAAGGAGATGCAGTACTGAGCACACATGGTTCTGAAACCCAGGAACAAGACAAGGGGTCAAAGCACAGTCCAAACGATGTTTAAAGAACTGAAACAGGAGCAGAGCCTGGGGGCTGGAGTGCTATGTGGAACTGCCCACTACTGGATGCTGGGGTTTCTCTTCAGACAGGAACTTCCTCTTTGCCACGCAAACCTCTTGGTACTGCTACAGATATGCACCTTCATCATTGTATAGCCAGGCCTTGAACGCACAGAGATCCGCCTGCCTCTGCCTGCTTGTGCCGTTACATCTGCTGTTTTGTTTTGAGAGTCAAGTTTCACTATGTCGTCCAGACTGGAATAAAACCCAAGGGATCCTCCTGTCACAGCCTTCTGATTGCTGAGACTACTTATGTGTGCCACTGTACCCGGCTTAGATTTTTCAGGTGGCTCAGCAGCTTACGGCACTTACTGCCCGACCTAAGTTTGGTCCCCAGGACCCACATGATAGGAGAAGTGACTCCCTCAAGTTGTCTTCAGACCTCCACACAGGTGCCTTGGCGTGCATGGCCTACATACACACTCACATGAATATATCTGGGAGTGGTGGCTCACACCTTTAATCCCAGCACAATGGAGGTAGAGGCAGGTGGATCTCTCTGTAATTCCAAGGCCAGCTTGGTCAACACAGTACACTTCAGGTTACCTAGGGTTACATATTGAGACTGAGTAAATACATGAACAAAAGTTATTTTGAGAAAAAAAAATTGGTTTTCCCCTTGGTTTTTTGAGACAGGGTCTCTGTTTGACAGCCCTGGCTGTCCTGGAACTGGCTTTTGTAGATCAGGCTGACTTTGAACTCAGAGATCGGCCTGTTTCTGCCTCCCAAGTGCTAAGATTAAAGTCATGTGCCACCCAGCTGATTTTTATTTTTAAAAGATGTAAAAATTTTATGTGTCAATTTGAATGTATGTTACATGTGTGCACAGCATGTCTATGTGTGCATGTGCCCACTGAGGCCAGTGGATTTCTGGAGCCTGTGCTGAGCTGCCTGCTACGATTGCCGGGAACCAAACTCAAGTCATCAGGAATGGCAGTGAGCACTCCTAACTCATCAGCCATCTTGTTTTCACTTTTTGGGTGATTCTGCCAGGCTATGATGCTCAAGCTCACACTCCTCTTGCTTCTACCTCCCGATTGCCAGAATTAGCCATGAGCCAATATTTCTGGTTTACAGGTTTTGTTTGTCTTATATAGCCCAGGATGGGCTCAAGCTTGATATGTAGCCAAAGATAACCTGAATTCCTGGTTATTCTGCCTTCATTTTTCAAACGCTAGGATTACAGGCATGTGCCACCAAGCCTGGCTGTATTGTTAATTTTTATTCTTTTGGGAAAGGGCCTTGCTTCTATAACACAGGCTAGTCTGGAACTCACTGAGTAGAACAGGGTGTCCTTGAATTTACACCAGTCCTCTTGCTTTGGCCTCCCCATCCCTGGGATTATAGTATGAACCAACCATGCCTGCCTCAGTCCTATCCTTTTTCACTTTTTATTTAGTTTGGTTTTTGTGAAAGGGTCTCATGTAGCCCAGACTGGCCTCAAATTTGGTATGTAGCAAATAACCTTGAAATCTTAACTGTCCTGCCTCCATCTCCCAAGCGCTGAGATTTCACATTTCAGGCCTACATCATGCTTTAGTGCCTTTTTCTTTTCTTTCTTTCTTTCTTTCTTTCTTTCTTTCTTTCTTTCTTTTTTTTTTTGCTTTTTGAGACAGTGTTTCCCTATTAGCAGCCCTGGCTGTCCTGGAACTAGCTCTGTAGACCAGGCTGGCCTCCAATTCACAGAGATCCGCCTGCCTCTGCCTCCTGAGTGCTGGGATTAAAGGTGTATGCTACCACTGCCTGGTGCTTTAGTACCATTTTAATAAATAATTTTGTATGCTTCAAAAACATATATATTACCTGACTGTTAAAATCAAACATTTTCTTGCTCCATTTGGCTCAGCTTCCTCAGAGTTTCCAAAATTGTATCTAAAGGTGTGCACAGTTCTAAGACATCTGGTATCACTCTATTGTAGTAACTGTTAGTTTTGTAACATTTGACACTGCTGCCAAGATGATTGTATCAGTTCATACAACAGTATCTAAAGGATTGTCCATTCACTCTGCCTTGTTATGTATATATATATTTGTTCTTTCTTTTTTTAAGGGGTGGGGTGAGGGGAAGAGACAAGGTTTATCTATGCAGCCTTGGCTATCCTGGAACTCACTTTGTGGATCAGACTGGCTTTGAACTCAGAGATCTGCTTGCCTCTGCCTCCTGAGTGCTGGGATTAAAGGTGTGCACCACCACTGCTTGGCTAGCTATATTGATGTTTATTAAATTTTATTCCCAATGTGTATTGGGGTGGGTGCCCATGACATGGCATCAGAGAACAACTTTGGGAGTTGATTAATTTCTCCTACCATGTGGGTCCTAGGGATTATACTTGGATTGTCAGGCACCTCCAAGAGTCTTTACCCAGCCTGCTATATCATTTTTTAAATGAGACAGGGTTTCTCTGTAGTTTTAGAGCCTGCCCTGGAACTAGCTCTTGTAGACCAGGCTGGCCTCGAACTCCCAGTGATCTGCCTGCCTCTGCCTCTCGAGTGCTGGGATTAAAGGCGTGCGCCACCACTGCCCGGCACTTACTGATATCTTATATGATTATGAAGAGTAAGACTTTTGCATGTTTATTATGTAATGAGACACTTTAGTAGATTATTTTGTTAGCTTTTAAAGTGTTTTCCCCACTCCCCCATGTAGAAGATGGGATCCAAGAACTCAGGGATCTTCTTTTTAAAAAGATGTATTATGTACGGGCATGGGTATGCCTGTGTGAGCTCATGTGCACCACATACATTCTGGAACTGGAGTTACAGTGACTGTGAGCCACCCTCTGCCTCTGTTGCAAGTCCTAGCAGTTCTACAGCTGGTGTCCCTTAACTTTTTAGTCTTTCTAACTTCAGATATGGCTTAAGGTAGTTTTTCAAGGAGTATCTTTAAAATTAACTGCTCTTCAGTTCTCAGATCAGCTTCCACAGGACTGAAGAGTTTCTTTTGGCATGACTAAGGAAAGGCTTGTGTGGGAAATCCCAGAAGCAAGGATAGCTATAGGTCTAGTTCTTCCTCATGGCTTCCAGGCTCTGGCCAGTTCCAGGGCTGAGGGCTCACACAGATACCACACAAAACCTTAGAAATCTTTCATTACATCAGATCCTCTTGGGAAACTCAAAACTGCAAAGATAAACATAGTTCATACAATAATTCCCTGGTGCTGCTTCACGTTCAGAAAATAAGCCCTCAAAACCATCCAGGAAAAATAACAGGGCTATGTGATGGTCCAGCAGTCAACACTAGCTGGTCTTGTAGTGGTCCTGGGTTCAGTTCCCAGCACCTACACTGTCTGTAACTGCAGTTCTAGGAGATCCAAGATCCTCCTCTTCTGACCTCCTCAGACACCAGGTACACTTGTGTACAGTCATACATGCAAGGCAAAACACTCATACACATGGGATAAAATAAAACATGAAATCTATTCTTGGTGTGGTAATTACAAAGTGAGACTCTATCTCAGGGAAAAAACAATGAAGAACACTAAATATTGTGGGCCCATGAGATGATTACAGCCCCTCATGCGAGTGCAGCTCAATCCATTCCTGGACAGTTCTGCCCTTGAAACAGCCCTGCTGCTGTTGAGCAAGGCTACATTACTTAAGACACTCTTCCTTGTTTGCTTTTTTCCTGTTTTTATTTTTTTTCCTTTAAGGACAGAGTCTTGGGTAGCCTACAATGGCCTGAAACTTGGTATGTAGCAGCTCCAGGATGACCATGGACTGCTGACGATCCTGCCTCTACTTCTTTTTTTTCCCCCACGAGACAGGGTTTGTGTTCCCCTGGCTGTCCTGGACATAGTTTTGTAGACTAGGCTGGTCTTAAACTCAAGAGACTCACCTGCCTTTGCCTCCCGAGTGCCGGTATTAAAGGCATGTACCACCGCCACTGCCCAGCTCTGCCTCTACTTAAGTACTAGGATTACAGATGTATAAGATTACACTCAGCTTTCAATTTTTTTTTTTTTTTTTGGCTTTTTCGAGACAGGGTTTCTCTGTGGTTTTGGAGCCTGTCCTGGAACTAGCTCTGTAGACCAGGCTGGCCTCGAACTCACAGACATCCGCCTGCCTCTGCCTCCCGAGTGCTGGGATTAAAGGCGTGCGCCACCACCGCCCGGCAGCTTTCAATTTTTTAAGGGCTGTGGAATACTATTAAGCCCCTGATCAGGTAAGTGCCATGTTAGGATACATATATATGTAATAAAATTTTGCAGTTTTGGACACAGGTTCTTACTATGTAGGCTAAACTGGCTTTGGTGTTGAATTCATGATCATTTTGGCTCCGTCTTCCAAGGCATAGGGTCACATATACCCCATTTTCAGAAAACCACTCACTACTGCATACAGTGAAAAGGAAAGGGACAAAAATTTAACCAAGGAGCCTAATACAGAGGAATTTCAGTACACAGGAGAGGCAAAGGAGGAGTGAATGGCAAAAACAGAGATAGAAAAAAAAATCCTTTTATGGAAACACAAACTTTAAGGGACTAAAGATGTCCTTCAGATAGGGTCTTGCCTAGTAGCATGAGGGCAGCCCTGGGTTTGATCCCCAGCTCTGCATAAAACAAGGTGATAGTGTAAGTTAGTATCAGGTGAAGGCAGGAGGATAAGAAGTTCAAAGTCATCTTTGGGCTACCCAGTGAGTTTCAGGCCAGCCTATGCTACCATGAGTACTATATCAAAACATAAAAACCTCCAAAAACCCCAAAATCTCCCTAGATAAGATATATAAATGGCTAATGACCACATTAAAATACCCAGAATCACAAATCATCAGAAACATGCAAATCAAAACTCCAATGGGCACCACCTCTAACCATAGCATTAGGCCAGAGCAGAGAGAAGTGGGAAAACAGGTGTCCGAATAGAGTAATCAGGGTGTTATGGGAGACACTACACTAGTTCCTAAAAACAATGGACATACGCTATCACCTGAACCAGTAATTCCATCCCTCGAGGTAGATCAAAGAACCAAAAGCTGTGTTTCATCAAGGTGTATCAGGCCTTTGCACCAGACCTTTGCACAAATGACTCCATAATGGAATTACCATTTAGGCTGTAAAACACAGCATGTATTCAGGACTGCCTGCCAACACTAAAACAAAGGCCTACTCCATCAAAGTCCATAGTGATGGGAAGGTCTCTACAACTACTGCCTCTGTAGTTCTGCTTCAGCTAACTGTTCTTCTTAACTGAAGTATGTCTACCCAGAGCTTAAAAGCTCACCCTAAAGAAGGCTCAGTGCTACACTGGGATCCAAACACCCAGTGTAGTTACAGACCAGCTAATAAGGACTTTTCGTTGGCTTAAACCTATGCCTAATCGTCTTCTCTGGTGAATACCCCACAACCAAGGAGATTTCTGCACTCCCATATTCATAGCTACATTATTTATAAGAACCAAAAGAAGCCTATGGCCACTAACATACAGATGTCCATGCATATGCAATTTGCACATAAAATGTAAGTCATATTTAATAGGAGGAAATTCTGACATGTTGTAACACAGATGGACACTGAGGACATTATGCTAAGAGAAATAGGCTATTTGCAAACACTACATGATTCCAATGATGTGGGATACATATAGTAAGAAAATTCAAAGAAAGGGTAGTAGATGGGCTGAGTTTAGGACGGTGGAGGGCTGTTTAATAGGTATAAATGGGTTTGGGTATGTAACGGGATACATTAAACAACAAAAAGCACACACTCAGAAAATGGTTAAATGGTACATTTTATGTGTATTTTATCACAATTGAAATAAACTGAAAATAAGAGGTAACAGCAGTTATACTTAGGCCTATTGGTTGCGATGACTAATTTCCCTTGTTAACTTGATTTTGCTAGAATCAACTAAAACCCAAGCAGCTGGGCATGCCTGGCAAGGGTTTTCTTGATTGGAGCATTTGGGGTGAGACAACCTATCCTAAATCTGGGTCACAACTTTGGTGGGAGCCCACAGAAAGACATGGAAGAGGGAAACATCTGCTATTTGACTGCTTGCGCTCACTCTTGCTGGCAAGTTCTTTTGTGGGTATTAGAGCCAGCCTCTTCAGGATTCCAACTTAGTGTGGACTAAACATTACCATGTACTTGGTTTTTATGACAAGACATAGCCACTGTGGGATTAGCCACCTCAGCCTACCAGGGACTCTAATACATATACTTTATGCACACACATAGTTCATTCTTTCAGTTCTGTTCCTTGGCGACTCTGACTGACAAGTTTGCAAGTGAGAGAGCCTTAGTCTGAAGCAGCTTAGGCAGAGGATGAGGGCTTCCAGGTTCACTGGCTCATGGAGTCTGAGGAAGGGCTGGGCACACCACAGAGGGGATATGGAGCTTCAGCAACAACTGCAACCAGGGGCTTGGGAGCTTCCATGAGTCTCAGTTTCTCACCTCTGCTGCCTTTGGCATGTCGGCTTCCTTTTCACAGCAGACCAGCTGGTTCCACACGACAGGACACATGGCTGCTGACAGTTCCTGTGTTTTACATTTTATGGCTTCCACACTGAAGAGGGATTTTCTCTCACTTTCAGTTCAAAAAATTCTGGGTAAGGACTCTGACTGGCCCATCTTGGCCCAGGACCAATGTGGCAAAGGGTGAAAGGTCATTTAGGAAATACTATGTAATAGAAGTAATTTATGGAAACATGAAAAAGAAACAGAATGAGATCTATAACACAATATCAATTATGTACATTTAAAATACATACATAAAACATTATATATTATGCAAAGATACATGTATATTTAAAGACATCTATCAAGCACATTAAAGCCACTAAAGAAGAAGTGATGAAGAATGACTGGGTACTAAAGTAAACATAAAGGTAAAACGAGAAAGATCTTGTTAACGACGGCGAACAAAATAGTATGATCACCTCGAGTCTCTGTGTCTGATGGAAAACAGAAGTGTAAGAGGGAACCAAACTCCCAGGCAGGCGTTAAAGGCAGTTTTCAGAAGAGAAAGGGAGAGAGCTGGAGAGATGGCTGCCAACTCTGACAGCCTGAGTTCCATTCCTGGCACACACATGGTGGAGGGAGAACCAACTCCTGCAGTTATCCTCTAACTTCCACATGTGAGCTCAGACACAATAAAAAATGTAATTAAATTTTTGATGGGATGTAGCAGTGGCTACCTCGGAACTCATTATATAGGCCAGGTTAGTCTGGAACTCGGAGAGATCTGCCTGCCTCTGTATTCCAGATGCTGGGATTGAAGAGGTGCACAGCCACACCCACACCCAGTTCTCCTTTCTTTCTTTNCAGTAGCTTGCTCCTGGAAACATGTCGCGGGAGGCTCCTGTTATTCTGGTCTCTAGATCCCAGAGTTAATTTTAGAAGGAGAATTTGGAAGTTAGATGCAGAACAATCTCAAAAGAGACAATTTATCTACATACAAGGAAACACTGTGATGTCATCGCTATGGAGTTTAATAAAAGTATAACCAACATTAATTTAAAATGTAACAAGTGCTAAAATTTATGCCTTTTGCTGATATATAATAGCAGCCCTACCATCTTAAAAAAATAACTTTCCATGTTTATGTAAGATTAGACTGGGGCTCAAAGAGCTTAAGTAGCTTCCTTGAGGTAATAAAATTAATAAATAACCACAGTGTGGTGACTGGACCTCCTCACACCCCCTCCTCATCCTACGCCCCTCCCCCCGCCGGATTCCTTGTCTTTTATATTCAGAGCTTGTGCTCTTTCCTCTGTGTGGGTTGAGATATGTGTGAGCTTCAGTTTGCTAGGACTGGACGAAACTTGGTCAGTGATGCTCTGAGATCGGTGTTAGTCTCCCTGCTGGTCCTGATGAGGTTGCTAACTATGGAGAAGGGGAGGGTGGTCATTACATCTCCCAGAGGCTTCTCAGCTCAGTTCAAGTGCCCATCTAGGCTTTGGGGTTTCCCTTTATCTGACCAGAGAGATGATCCCTCTTCTCTACACCTTTTCATGACAATTAATATTTATTGCACTTCCACATAACTCCATACAGTGCCGAGGACGTTAGCGTAAGCAGGGTAAGTGCTTGGCCACGGAGTCCCATCCTGCGTCTTAACTCTCATCCATGTTTGGTTGAGTGACTTGAAGTTCATCAAGACCATAAATGACACCTCTTCCCTGCTGAATGACCTGATGGTGTTTTTTCTCACTACATCTTCAAGTGACCAAACGAACTAGATGAATACCTACAATATTGGTAGATAATAATGAAAATGTATATTGTTCAATCCTTTGCTCATTTTGAGGAGGTCTGTAGAATAGGTAAAGGCTTTCCTGAATAGAATTAAAAAAGACAAAAAGTAAATCCCCCTAGTGTTCATAAAATCACCGGGTGTACTCCTTCATATAACTTTATTAAGATAACTATTTTGTAATAAAAAGGGACTTATTTCCAGTTGGCACCAGACCTAGGTGCCATCAAAGTTTGTGGTATCAGTGGTAACTACAACCAATGTAACCTCAAAATGCTCCAGGAAAGAATTCCTAGCCATGGTCACTGACAGAAACATCGTTCCTCTCATCTGGAAGCTCGTTTTGTAGACCACCTTACCTTATATAAATTTGCATTTAAAAATGTAGTTAAGAGAAGGCAGTTAAATATAACACGTATTAACACATATTTGTTTTCCCTGATTCATTTATCAAATATCTGATTATTAAACTTATTTTTTAGAAATTCTAGTGATAAAACAACTGGATATGGTGGTTCACTTCCATCATTTCACAGCTGGAGCGGGGGAGGCTGGAAGATGGAACCTCAAAGTCACTTTATTTGAAAGAAATATAACTAAACAATTGAGCTATTGATTATGATGCTCTTAGGTTCCTGCTTCCCTCCAGTTGTATTGTGGCTTTCCCATCCCATCATTGTACAAAGCATTTAGAATCAGGAGGTTGACCCACCCTCCTGCCTCTCTTCTCCTCTTAAACCATTTTGGATTTAAAAAGTCTTGCTCCTAGTTCCTTCACTTTGGAAAAAAGAATTTTGCCTCGCTTTTACTTCCCTGTTTGTTTCTTGTGGCACTGAAATCGTTTTTAAACATTTATGCAGGTTGAATGCGGAGAGGAGCGCCCTCTGCCCTGGAAAAGATACTCAATAATCGTTTATGAAGTGGCCACATTGCACTCCCCATAAGACAGCTATAGGACAAGACACTTGAAATTGTAAAGACTGAAAATATAGTGGCTTCCAGCAAGTGTTGGCATATCATAACTCGCAAGCCGGCTGACTGTTTTCATAAATAAAGTTTTATAGGAACATAGCCATGTCCACTCATTTGCATATTGTCTTTGGTTGCTACAATGGTGGGGACTGAAGAGTTATCCAGACACCATCTGGCTGGAAAATCCCAAAATATTTTCTATGTGGCCCTTATGAACAAGCTTGCCAGCCCTTAGTTTAGCATATTAGTTATGTCTTGTTATATAGCAAATAACCCCAAGATCTAGAAACTGAAGGCAGTACTTATTACTTCATTGTTTCTGTAGGCCAGGGTGCAAGCTTCCCAAGGGGTATGATTCTAGAACAGGACCCCTTATGAGGCTATTGGACCCCGTGGGACCCCCCTGAAGCATCCCCTTGTAGCTCTTACACATGGCAGATCTCAGTGTCTCATTGACCGTTGACCAGGGACCTCGTTTCTGAACCATCTGGTCTTTATCATGGGCAGATGTTGCAGATGTTCCCTCAATGCAGGCGATGGGGTGGGGGTATGGTTGGGGGGAGTCTTTTTATCAGGGGTGAGCGGAACAGTATTCAACATCTCCCTGTCCAACACAAACTTGATCTTTTGGCCTCCAAGCTCCAAAGTGCTGGGATGCAAGAGGGTGCTACCAAATTCAGCTGGCTTCTTTTGTAACTAAATCTGGGGTACACTGTAGCTTTTACCTGACCGGGGGTTTTTAGACATAAGCTCTAAGTCCAGCCCACATGTGAGAAGAAGGAATGAATTCTCCATAGGGATGGATACCACATTGGAAGCTAGCTAGGATTTTGCTTGCTTATCTGTTCAACCTTAGCCTTTTGTATAGTCACAATTTGCATTATCTTTTATCACTGGAGTTCTGGCATTTACCACCATGAGAACCAAGGAAAGCCAAGCAGGGCAATGCTGAAGTCAATGACCAGCCTCATTCTGAGGCTCCCAGAGAGGTGGCTAGTCTGGTTGAGACCTTCCGGTCAAATCAAGGCTAAAAAGAAATACTTTGAAACCCCACAGGACACAAATGCTCAGAGAACAGACTTCTGACCAAGGTAAGGCTCGCTGGAGGCAGTTGGGAGAGGACTTTGCCAACAGTGAGAATTTTAATTTGGTCAATATTCAACACATATTTATTGAATTCCTGGTAAGCTCAGGCAGTGTGGAGCCTTTGTGGAGACAGCAAGCCACTTGGAAGGGAAGGTGGCCTCAGTCAGGAAGCATGTGAAGGCAGGTGTTTCCTGCCTGCGGTGACAGCCAATAAGTGACCTCCTAAGCTTTGACCCCTTCTTCAGTGTTTGTGGGAAGGAGATGATAGTTACATAAAATGGTAGCAGGTAGAATGGAGAGTCTAGACACTTTTTAGTTCATTCTTTGTACCCTTGCAGTCCTTGCCAGTTCAAGTGAGTATTTGTAAATGTTTGTTGCCCTAAAGTTTGGGAATCTGTGCAAAGACATTTAATGGCAGAGTCTATAAAAGCTGCAGACCAGTGGTCCTCAACCTTTCTGATGCTGTGACCATTTAATACAATTCTTCATGTTATGGTGACCCCCAACCATGAAATTACTTTTGTTGCTACTTCATAACTGTAATTTTGCTACTGTTATGAATTATAATGTAAATATCTGATATCTCCATGGTCTTATGTGACCTCTGTGCAAGGGTCATTCAGTCCTGAGAGGGGTTGTGACCCAAAGGTTGGGAGTCCCTGCTGTAGACTGTGGAAAGTCTCAACTTGTTAGTTTCTTGTTGCTGTTGCTGCTTTAAATAATACTTCATTTAGTCATTTTATGTAGAGTTGTATTTTTTTCCTAGAGTCAAACTCACACTGTATTTATTTAACATCCGTCTTGTATTCCGTTGTAGAAGCCCCCGCCAAACCCAAACATAGTCTTTTCCTATTGAAACAGATGTAGACAGGAGAGGTTGAGAGAGAGGAGGGAGAACTTGCTTGGTCCAGCTTGAAAGACAAAAGACCATTCAGGGGTTCAGGGGTGTTCGTAGTATGGGGAAGAATGGGAGGGCACGGGTTCTATGGGCAGCTTTGTTTCCAGGGCATTGTGAAAGCTTTTGATCCTCAAATAAAGGTAATTTCTATCTGTGTGACTGAAAGCCCAGTTAGGCGTAAGTAGCCTCTCTCTCTCTCTCTCTCTCTCTCTCTCTCTCTCTCTCTCTCTCTCTCTCTCTCTCGACAGATTCCTAATCTGTAGTTCAGGCTGGTTGGCTTTGAGCTCACAGAGATCTGTTTGCCTCTGCCCTGCTTCCCTAGTGCTGGGACTAAAGGCATGCACATACATGCCCCAGCCCCCCACTTTTTAAAAATTGTATTTTGAGCCTTGGTCTTCCTACATTGCGGGCTTTGAGAATGGAACTCTCTTGCCGTGGTGTTCTGAGTAGCTAGGATTACAGTCATTGGCCACCAAGCTAGGAGTCTTACTCATTGTTTTACTTGATACTTCATGAGTCCTCTAAAACTAAAAATTCAAAATTTCCCCATCAATTTAGTAGCTTTTCAGCCAAGTGGTGGTGCATGCCTTTAATCCCAACACTCAGGAGGCAGAGACAGAAGCAGGTGGACCTCTATGAGTTCGAGGACAGCCTTGTCTGAAGAGTGAGTTCTAGGACAGTCAAAGCTATCCAGAGGAATCCTGTCTCAAAAAACAAAACAAACAAACAGAAAAAAGTAGCTTTATTTCTGTAACTTGACTGTTACTCTTACTCAGTCAGCTACCATAGTTTGGAACTTGTATTATTAATTTTTTGGACCCATGCTCATATTCACTCATCCTTATGTATTTGTTGTGTTTTCCCTGAGTTCTGGTAAATTTCTCTGAGTTCTGTTTTAATAATTAAAGGCTCTCTAGTCTGATCACTGACAGTATCAAATTAAGTTGGCCATGGTTGTCCTAGAGAAGTTTTCTTCTTTTAAATTATTTTTCCTTTTTTTTTTTTTAAATTTTTAACAATAAAAGTTGTGGGGCTGAAAGGATTGCTCAGCGGTTAAGAACAAGTATGGCGGGCTGGAAAGATGGCTCAGAGGTTAAGAGCATTGCCT